CTCACATGGGAGAATCCTCCGGGTACGACAGACCTAGGCCGGCGAGTGCCGTACTTGGATAAGTTTGCGGTCTTGCGTAAAAGTCAGGGGGCAGGTGGCGTGGCTGACATTGTGTTCAACGCTATGGTTCGGGATTGCTTTCCGGAAGGTGTCTGTTGGAGGAGTCGAAAGAACAATCCTGTTAACAAGTGGTATTTTGAACGATCCAGGGGCACGTTGAAGTTCAAGGACATGAACTGGGCCATGTTCTGGACAACTCCAAATTTGGCGTTGGATTACCAAAAATTCTACGATTACGAGGCTGTGTGCCGCGGCATCGAGCCATCATGGGCAGACAAGAAACATATAGTCGACTAGATTAAAAGGAAAAGAAAAAAACTTAGAGACCAAGAAACTGCTGATTCAAGCCATGAGAGCTGTCTTAATGATTTTCTGACTCTCAAGTCACTATGCATCGGATGCGTCGCTTATCGTATTCACTCTACAGGGCTTTCTCTTTTTCTATATTTAATTATTGAGTTACGATGGAAATTAGCGACGAGATTTGCTCCTTTTTTATATTGCCCTTAAGGCGTCATTTACGCCCTGGATGACTACTAGAGGTAACTATGCAGAAATCTGCTGGTGAAGGAGATGAAAACGCAGGTTCCACTCGACTAATTTCCTTTAGTAACATGAGGAATTCCAAGGGTGCAAACTGACGCAAACTGCAACTCGATACTTGTTCGTAAATCTTCAGGATTGGGTAATCTCAGGCCTGGCGCAAGTGGGAGGTACCTCCGGATACTGCTCCGAAATCATGATGCTGGATGGCGGGGCGGTCAGGAAGGAAAGAAAAAAAATATGCCTGACCCCACCATGGGTTGAGAGGTGATACTGACTGATAGCAGTGATAGCAGTCGGAGGCGGGGTGATAAGGGAGTTGCTAGGGGGTGTTCCTAGTCGTCATCGCTCTGTCACGATAAAAACTGTAAAATGCTTCTTCAAAGGTTAAAAACGATGACATAGCACTGTAACTTGTGTGAAGTAGTACATATTATCCGGGCGATGGATGCTTTGATGCGTAGAATTAAATATAGAAAATAATGTATATGCTTGTACAAGCCAGGCTGGCGATGCTACAGTAGGTATGCATTTGTCGAGCTTTTCCGCATGCGTTTTGAGGATGGATGTTTTGGAATTTCCTTGTTGGGTGCGACTTGAAGTCTCTAGAAGTTTCGTACCAGCACCTCTAGCGTACACGCCCCTAGTCCAGCGGGGCGTGTGACTAAGGAGGGGTAACGTGGGTGAGGCTAACCCAGACAAGACCCAAAATCGACCACAGGCCTGTCCCTTCCTCTCCCACCTTATTTGATGGTCTACCTGCAGTGCGCATTTGGGCAGCTTTTTTTATTATTTAGACAAATCTCTTTTCCATCCTGCTGTGTTTAGGTAGTCAACAAGAACATCCCAAACTACTGCCAAACGACTCAACATCTTCGTTTCACAGGCATCCAAACCTCCCATCACACCGCCCGAGCCTTGTTTCTTTCCATCTGCTCTGTTTGTTGTGGGCGATCCTCCTCACCTCTAATCCCGCCTACACCGATTCCCAGCCGATTTCCATTCAACGAAACCACATCCACTTGTTTACGTTCGCTCAGTCAATATGAGTGTCGTTGGTATGTTGCCCCGCGCGGATCGCCCTCGCGCACTTGTTCGTCTTTTTGTCCATACAAATAAGAACCTGTCTATTAACGCCCATGACCTTTAGGTGTTGATTTCGGAACGCTTAACACGGTCATTGCCGTGGCGAGAAATCGTGGTGTCGATGTTGTACGTACCACCCACCCTTCCCTTCGTCCCTCGTATATTGTTATATAGCCATGTTCACACAAGACTGACGGAGCCCTTGATTAGATTACCAATGAAGTTTCTAACCGTGCCACGCCGTAAGTTCCATTCACGCACACGTACCCGATTACTGTTTTCAACTAACGTCGACTTCTAGTTCTCTAGTGGGATTCGGCCCCAAGTCCCGATACCTTGGTGAGGCGGCCAAGACACAAGAGATCTCCAACCTCAAGAACACCGTCGGCTCCTTAAAGCGTCTCGCCGGACGCCGCCTGGGGGACCCCGATGTCCAGATCGAGCAGCAATATGTCTCTGCCCAACTAGTCGACGTTAATGGCCAGGTTGGCGCCGAGGTCTCATACCAGGGGAAGAAGGAGAGATTCTCGAATACCCAGCTTATTGCCATGTTCTTCAGCAAGGTCAAGCAGACTGCTGCTGCTGAGCTTAAGCTACCCGTTGCTGATGTCGTTATGAGCGTACCCCCGTGGTTCACAGACATTCAGCGACGTACCATTATCGACGCTGCCGAGATCGCCGGTCTCAAGCCGCTTCGTATTATGAACGATACCACCGCTGCGGCCTTGGGCTACGGTATCACAAAGCTTGACTTGCCTGCCGAAGACCAGAAGCCCCGCCGCGTCTGCTTCATCGATATCGGCCACAGCAACTACTCGGCCTCCGTCGTCGAGTTCAAGAAGGGCGAACTGACCGTCAAGTCTACCGCCTACGACCGTCACTTTGGTGGCCGTAATTTTAACATGGCCTTGCTCGACCACTTCCAGAAGGAGTTTAAGGGCAAGTACCGTATCGATATCTCGACTAACCCTAAGGCCACGGCCCGTGTCGAAGCCGCTGCCGAGAAGCTCAAGAAGATCTTGTCTGCAAACCAGCAGGCTCCCATAAATATCGAGTCGCTTATGAATGACATTGATGTTAACGCAATGGTCACGCGACAAGAATTTGAGGCCCTCGTTGAGCCCCTCCTAAACAAGGTCACGGCGCCCTTGGAGCAGGCGCTTGCCGATGCAAAGCTGACCAAGGATGACATTGATTTCATTGAGCTAGTTGGCGGCAGCACTCGTATGCCAGCTATCAAGGAGAAGATCCAGGCTTTCTTTGGCAAGACTTTGTCCTTCACTCTCAACCAGGATGAGGCCATCGCTCGAGGTTGCGCCTTCGGCTGTGCTATCCTGTCCCCTGTGTTCAAGGTCCGCGATTTCTCCGTTGCCGATATTGTTCACTACCCAATCGAGTTCTCCTGGGAAAAGGACGTGGATATTCCCGACGAGGATACGAGCCTGACTGTCTTCAACAAGGGCAATGTGCTGCCTTCCACGAAGATTTTGACCTTTTACCGGAAACAACCTTTCGACCTAGAGGCACGATATGCCAAGCCCGAGGATCTACCAGGCAAGATATCTCCCTTTATTGGTCGTTTCTCGGTCAAAGGAGTCAAGGCCGACCCCAAGACCGAATTCATGGTCTGCAAACTCAAGGCCAGAGTCAACATCCACGGTATCTTGAATGTCGAAAGCGGTTACTACGTCGAAGATCAAGAAGTAGAAGAGGAGATTAAGGAAGAGAAGAAGGAAGATGGCGACAAGAAGGATCCTGACGTAAGTTTTACCAACTGGTCATTCTGCTAGGCTGACAGGCTACGTCGAACTTTGGGCGCCGTTGTATCGCATCAACTGACTGACTTTTCCAGGCTATGGACACCGATGATAAGAAGGACGAGTCTAAGCCCAAGACGCGAAAGGTTAAGAAACAAGTCCGTAAGGGAGATCTGCCTATCGTTGCCGGAACTACTTCCCTCGACCCGAACACCAAGAACGCCCTGATCGAGAAGGAGGCGGCGATGCTCATGGAGGATAAGCTAGTCGCCGATACAGAGGAGAAGAAGAACGAGCTAGAGACTTACATTTACGACATGCGCAACAAGCTAGAGGACCAGTATGCGGACTTTGCCACTGAAGAGGAGAAGGAGAAATTGAGGGCCAAACTCACCGAGACCGAGGCAAGTTAATCTGCATCTCAATATTACTGACGCATTGCGACTGACTTATACTAGGATTGGCTATATGAGGAGGGTGAGGATGCTACCAAGGCCGTCTACATCGCTAAGATGGACGAAATTCGTGCCATGGCTGGTCCCATTAACCAGAGATACTTCGACAAGGTGGAAGCGGAGCGCCAGGCGTTGCAAGCGAAGCTCGACGCCGAGGCAGCTGCCAAGAAGGCAGCCGCTGAAGAAGCCCGTAAGGCAGCTGAGGGAGAGAAGGGTGAGGGTAACAAGGATGAGGAGATGACAGATGCCGAAGCCGCGAAGCCCGAAGTAGAAGAGCCCGAGTCCTAGAGGTCTGAAAAGTTTGTTTACAAGCGGGATGCCGAAGCGACGGGCAGCGTGGAGCATGACGATATGTCGCCGATGAAGAAGAGAATCAAAAAGTAATGATTGCAATGTAACTGGCCGGGACTGGAAGGTTTAACAATGCCTTGGGGAAGGATTTTCTCCAATCCTGACAGAATATTCTGATGTTAGAGATAGACTACGACGGCTCAGACAGTACATGAGGCCGGTTGTAGACTTGAGATAGACATATCAGGAAATGGGTATGTTCATGACTTCAAGTTTTTTCCCCCCATCACGCTACATCTAGTGCAAATGTAGGCGCTAAGTAGTATTTGAATGTTCCAAAGTTGCTTCGTGGCTATAATTCTGCTAGTATTGTCAGGCTTTCGGTCGGCAACAGTAGGCAATAATTTAAAATCTGCAGTAGATATATACGTACCATGATATGTGCTCTGATATAGATGGGCAGATAAATACCATGCAATCCTATAAAACAACTGAATGCTTATATTGATCAGTCAGTCTTTTTTTTGTTGCTTTTTCTCTTGCTGTTTGTATGCCCTCCTGATAAATTGTCTATACCGGATCACTACTAGAAACAACTTGAATCATACCCGGCAGCGCATCGGTCCCTCGGCCCCTGCGCACCCCCCTTTTCCCACTCAGTCATAGCGCTCTCGAAGACAACAAAACTTCATCAATCAGTTCGGCCTCGTGGCCTAATGGCTAGGGCGCTAGATTTCGGTTATCTTTCACAACCTGATTCTCTAGAGATTGTCGGTTCGAGTCCGGCCGAGGTCGTCCACTTTCATTATCCGAATTGGTGTAGGGGTTAACATTTGACGCTCTCATTCTTTCCACAAAGAATAGTACCGTCAGGCCCGGGGTTCGATTCCCCGATTCGGAGTGATTACGACGCAAATTGTGTTTCTTTTTTCCCTTTTTCTTTTTTCTTCTTCTTCTTCTTATCTTTTATTGTTTCATCTACCCATGGGAAATGTTTACTTCCTTTTACTTTTTCCTAAATAAACTCATAATCAGTACTCCTGATTGATGTTTTATTTCACTGAATAGCTTCCTCTAGTCTACCTGTAGATCCTTGTGAAAATTAGTGAATGATTCCGCCACATAGACCCGTTTCGTGATCTATCGATAACCGATAAGATCCTTCCTGTTCGCTTAATCTCTTATCGGCAACATGCCGCTCGGAGTTTTGGTGTTGTTTCCGGCAGCATTGAATGCTGAACAGCTGCACTGGCACTTCACAAATTTATTTTGCCCACTGAAACTGTGCAACTCCCCGCAGCGTCATAAGTTCGGCCGGCCGTCTCGACTCTGCCATATCCCATATCGACTCCACTACCCTTAGGTATCCTCTATCCTCTACCCTAGTGAGATACCTAGCGCTTGAGATTTCTTTACCTGCAATCTCTTTCTGCCTCCGGGGATAAGTTTAAGAGAACGGGCAATGTCTTGGAGGTTTCCGGGACGTAACATTAGCACCTCTAAACTACCATAGTAGGTTGTCCAAGCATCGCAACTTTCACCCCACTTCGCCTCTTTCTGCTTCTGTCCGGCATATTTACCGACTTCCTGACACCACCTGACAGAAGAGCATTTACTCCTCACATACTCTTTAATCATCTTGCATCTTGTCACGTAGCAAGATCTCCCTACGCTTCGACAGTATCTACATATAGATCCGCCAGACCACCAAAATGGCCCCCAAGAAGAAGGGAGGAAAGAAGGCAGCCGACGACTGGGAAGCCGACCTCGGTGAAACCATTGCACCTACGAATGGCGACGCTGCCCCCACTGATGCTCCTGAGGAACAGGGAGAGGAGGGCGATGCTCCCGTCGGTGGTCTCATGGCCATGATGAAGAAGAATCGAGAGAAGCGCAAGAAGAAGGGTTTGTCAGAGAACTTCGCTGATGGCGAAGCTGCGCAAACCGCCACCCCAGAGCCCGCCGACATCAGCTCTTTCCAAGCGCCCCAAGAAGCGACAGCGGACGATGAGTTTGCTCTGCCAGAAAAGAAAGGGAAAGGAGGAAAGCAAAATAAAAAGGAACCTGCTGCCAAAGCTCCCGCTGCGAAAGTAGATGAGGACGATGTCGACGCGTCCGGTAAAGTGCTCACCAAGGCCGAAAAGGAGAAGTTGAAAAAAGAAAAAGAGAAGCAAAGGAAAAGGGAACAGGTCAGTATCACGTCACATATTTGAGACGATTCTAAGAGCTAATGTTTGTAATCTCGTCCAGGCTGCGAAGAAGAAGACTACTACACCCGCTCCCGTCGCAAAAGCTGCAGAACCCGCCAAAGTCGCCGCTGTCGAGGAGAAGAAAGAGACGCCAACGCCTGCACCTGCGCCTGCACCTGCAACAGAAGCCCCAGCAAAGAAAGGTAAAAAGCTACCAGCACATTTAGCCGCAATCCAGAAGCAACAGGAGGAATTGCGGCGACTACGCGAAGAGTCTGAACGGGCTGCCGAAGAGGAGAAAGCTCGCCTTGAAGAGCTAGAGCGCCGAGAAGCCGAGGAAAACAAGCGAAAAGAAGAAGAGAAGAATCGCAAGAAGCAGAAAGAAAAGGAGAGGATTGAACAGCTCAAGAAAGAAGGAAAGTACCTCACCAAGGCCCAAAAGGAAGAGAAGGCTCGCAATGAGAGGAAGCTACAGCAAATGATTGCTGCTGGCCTCCAGGTTGGGCCCTCAGAAGACGCCGAGGAGAAGAAGAAAAAGGCTGACACCAGAAAACGAGGCAAGAAGACTGATCAAAAGGTTATTTCTCATTCATACGACTTGCTTGAGTGCTGTCTTTACTAATTCTTTGTAGGTGGACGAAGAAAAGCTCCTAGCCGAAGCGGCCGAGCGGGCGAGAATACAGGCTGAAGCTGCAGCGAAGGAGGCTGAAGAGAAGGCTGCCAAAGAAGCTGCTGCCCTAGCTGCTGCTGAAGAAGCTGCTAAGAAGGCTCAAGCAGAAGAAGATGTCGAGGAGGATTGGGAGGCGGCCGCGGCTTCAGGAGAAGATGTTAAGGATAGCTGGGACGCCGATTCGGACGAAGAAGCTGACCACAAAGCCGCGGCAAAGGCACCAGCTAAAACCTTACGCTCACGATCTAAGCCTGAAGAGTCCGACTCCGATTCCGACTCTGAAGATGAAGAATCTTCCGAAGATGAAGAGCAATCAGCTGCTCGAGCCGCCGAGGCCAAGCGCAAGAAGGAGGCTGCCGAGCGTAGAGAGAAAGCCCATCAGGCTGCTCTGGCCGCGCGATCCAAGGAAAATCTTCGCAGCCCTATCTGCTGTATCTTGGGTCACGTCGATACTGGAAAGACAAAACTGCTAGATAAAATCCGGCAAACAAATGTCCAAGAAGGAGAAGCGGGTGGAATCACACAGCAGATTGGTGCTACATACTTCCCAGGTTTGTCACGTTGCCCTTCCTACGGTTAGACATCAGCAGCTAATAGTCCATAAGGTGACGCCATTAAACAGAAGACTGCCGTTGTGAACCAGGACGGAAAATTCGAATTGAAGGTCCCTGGTCTCCTTATTATCGACACGCCTGGTCACGAGTCTTTCTCCAACTTGCGTTCCAGAGGTTCTTCGCTTTGCAACATTGCTATCCTGGTCGTCGATATCATGCACGGTCTCGAGCCTCAGACCCTAGAGTCGATGAAGCTACTCCGCGACCGGAAGACACCCTTCATTGTGGCCCTCAACAAGATTGATCGTCTGTACGGTTGGAAGAAGGTAGACAATAATGGGTTCCAAGAAAGTTTGGCCCTTCAGAGCCGAGGTGTGCAGAACGAGTTCAAGAATCGTTTGGAGCAGACCAAACTCGCCTTTGCCGAACAGGGATTCAACGCCGAGCTTTACTATGAGAACAAGTCTATGGCCCGATTTGTTTCGTTGGTACCCACCTCCGCCCACACAGGAGAGGGTATTCCGGATATGTTGAAGCTCATATTGCAGTTGACTCAGGAGAGAATGGTTGGCTCGCTAATGTATCTCTCAGAGGTACAAGCCACCGTCCTCGAAGTCAAGGCAATCGAGGGTTTTGGTATGACCATCGATGTCATCCTGTCCAACGGTATTCTTCGAGAAGGCGATCGGATAGTAGTGTGTGGTGTTGAAGGAGCTATCACTACGAACATTCGAGCACTGCTTACTCCGGCTATCATGAAGGAACTGCGTGTCAAATCGCAATATGTACACAACAAGGAGGTGAAGGCAGCTATGGGTGTCAAGATCAGTGCGCCTGGTCTCGAAGGCGCGATTGCTGGTTCCCGATTGCTTGTGGTGGGCCCTGATGACGACGAAGAAGACCTAGAAGAAGAAGTTGAGTCAGATTTGAACAAGCTGTTCAGTCGTGTTTCTACATCGGGACGAGGTGTCAGTGTACAGGCTTCAACTCTCGGTTCACTCGAAGCCCTTCTGGATTTCTTAAAGGACTGCAAAATCCCCGTGGCTAATGTTGGTATTGGCCCAGTGTTCAAGCGTGATATAATGCAGTGTGGTACGATGCTGGAAAAGAGCCCTGACTACGCTGTCATGCTCTGTTTTGACGTCAAGGTCGACAAGGAAGCTCAAGCCTATGCCGAAGACAATGGCATTAAGATTTTCACTGCTGATATCATTTATCATCTATTCGATGCCTTTACGAAGCACATGGCAGAGCAGCTCGAGAAGAAGAAGGAAGAATCCAAGTTGCTGGCAGTCTTCCCCTGCGTCCTCAATACTGTGGCGGTCTTCAACAAGACTAGCCCCATTGTCGTGGGTGTTGATGTGGTAGATGGTGCCCTAAGGGTCAACACGCCGATAGCAGCTGTTAGGCAGAATCCCACAACAGGTGCCAAGGAAATTGTTAGCATGGGCCGAGTGTAAGTTTTCCTTCTTGCGACGCAAACTTAAAAAGATCATCACTAACAAGTCACAGGACATCAATCGAAAGAGATCACAAACAGATCCCTATTTGTAAGAAGGGACAGCCGTCAGTAGCGGTCAAGATCGAGATGGGCGGTCACCAGCCAACATACGGCCGTCAGCTCGAGGAGTCTGATACACTATACAGTTTGATCTCCCGCGCCAGTATCGACTGCCTGAAGGAATTCTACAGGAAAGACGTGTCGAACGAGGAGTGGGCACTCATCATCAAACTCAAACCCGTGTTCGACATCAACTAAGTGGTGATGTGACCACGACGGGGTGTCAACTCTTTTCTAAGCGACATGGACTTCGCTCTATGTAGCTGTAGCTATCTCGACAACATGTAATTTTTTAAGCGGAAAATGAGATGGTGGGGGAGCGGCAGGGTTTACGGATAGTCAATGGAATGAATTCATTAGGCAATGAATACGCTGCTCATATTTTTTAGTTGGCTGTATGGCTAATCAATCAGCTACTTAAGCGATAAATTTATTTATATCTTGAGGTTTTATATAGGGGTTTCATTCCAGGCTGCCTGGAATCCCATTGACCCACAAGTGCCATTCCGTTGGGACAGGTTGGTGTCTGCTTGTTGGTTCTGTTCTTTTACGTTGGCATGTAGTATGCTTTACTGACCACGCATTAATCATTCTTGTAATCTTCTCATCGAAGGCTCTTCGATTCACTTAGCGTTCTCTACTATCAAGGCCCTGATCCCCAACCATGTTCCTCGCAACCACGCTACACTCCATCTTCTACGGCCTAATCGCCTCGACAGGAATCTACATCCCCTTCATCAGCCTACTCACGATCTCCATCATCCAGGACTAAGTCATATACCTGAACCGCGTGACGTTGACATGGTTCCAAGACGTCAACGTGCCCGAACAGTGGGGTTTCCTCCGGAATCAAGTGACGCCATTCACGCTGCGCACGCCCGACGGAGAATCGCTCCACGCCTGGCACATCCTCCCCCTCGAGCTGTA